CAGACTTCAAGTTTACACTGGGTTCAGATTAGACATGTTATTAGTTCTACAATGGGTTTAATTTAGGTTTCTAGTTTACACTAGTTTCAATGTAGATATGTTTTCAGTTTACACTGGGTTCAGTTTAAACAGGTTTTCAGTTTACACTGGGTTCAGTTTAAACAGGTTTTCAGTTTACACTGGGTCCAGTTCTGAGACATTAGACATGAGATTTAGTTTAGATAGGTTTTAATATACAGTATCCAATTTAAACAATTTCAGTCAATACAGAGTTCGGTTTTGACAGGTTTCCTGTTTAGAAAGCGTTCAGTTTAGACAGGTTTCTAGCTTATCCTTATTATTATGTAATTTTCCAAGATTAACAGATTGCAATTTGGCCAAATAGCTAATTTTGTAATGAGCATCTTGTTTAATATTCATAATTAATCTTGTTCTACAAACTATCCTTCCCATCTAGCTTTCCATCTGAGATGGAAACACCAATTCACAATATTGCCAAGATATAAAAATCTGGATTATACTATTCACATGTAGGTAGTAAAGCAGTGTCATGAAGCGGGTGTTGATAACTGGAGCTTCAGGTCTCCTCGGCAGACCAGTGCTGAAAGAGTTCACCAACGCATCATGGGAAGTTCTTGGGTTGGCTTTCTCTAGGGCGACTGGTTCTCTGAAAAAAGTTGACATTACAGATGAAGAACAAGTCAGAAATGTTATGAAAGAATTTAAAGTGAGTATTTTAATTTTAACAATTAAACCATATATGTGAAAAGATAGTTTTCTCTATTGTTTTATTTTTTCACCAGGAGAAAATAAAATGTATGCATCCTTTTTTAAATAATAATTTGAATTAAAAATAAAAATTAAACACGCTGTTGTTTAATTTTCAGCCGTCTGTTGTTGTCCACTCGGCAGCAGAAAGAAGACCTGATATCGTAGAGAAACAAGAAGAAGTGACCAAGAAATTGAATGTGGACACCACAGCTATGATTGCAAGACTTTGTGGTAAAAAATTTATTGATAGTCTGCCACCAAGAGATTAAAAGAAGAAAGTTGTTCATTTGTTTTTATATGGTTTAGGATGTTGAGGGCGCTATTCACTTTAGACATCAGTTGACATCCAGACTGTAGGTTGTAGGACACTTCACAAAAAGAAAAAAACATAAAGAAAAATAGATAAATGAAGAATATACTTGAAAAGACACATGATGACTAATTGTTATGGTTTCAAATTTGAAGGCAGCCATAAATAAACAAACATTGGTTTTAAAAATGCCTTGGTGATTACTACGATAGCAGTCATCCAAACAGTGGACTGGTTGTTGCATGCATAAATAAATCTTTGCTAGGTTTTATCTTATTTTATTTTATTTTAGCAACATTTTATCTGAGCTGAGCTATTGCTCCCCCAACCAATTAACATGAGATTAGCTCTTGTGCATTTATTACGGTTATATGGTGCAAGGTGTGCATCCTCAGGTTTGGCCCTATTTGTTGGAGTTGAGTTGGAACATTATCCTTGATTGGGTGTCTCTGGGCTCAGTCCAATCAGTGTTCACTCCCTGAGAGTTTATTGGAGCCAAATTGAGTTCAAGCTGAACACCCATGTACTGTAGAATACTTTATTTTCGCTTGAAATTTATTTTCGCTGAAGGGATGATTCCGTGAAACTAAAATCCAGCGAATATACTCTTTTTCACATTAAACTTGTCAAAAATCAGTGAAAATAAATTCCATACAAAACACCCAAAAAGCCTTTTCAGCGAAAATTAATTCCACAATACCCATTTATATTTGCTGGCTTGAGCCAAAATCCAGCTGCTGAGCTTGAGTAAAATGCTGTCCTGTAAATGAGATAATTGATCCTGATAGTAAAAATGCAGTGATGCTGACATTTGAATAACGTAGAAATGACCTAGACAACTGTCTATATTGATTATTACACTGATGTATATACCGTAAATGAAGCATTCCATCATTAAAATACTCATGTCACTGACAATCCAGTGTTTCAGACTCCATTTCTTTGAATGAATTACTGAAACCAACTAAAAGATGAAATGTCTGTTTTAATGGAATTAATGCATAATATACATTGGAGAACAAAACAAATTTATTCACATCATGAATTCAAAATGCAGACAATCATTATAAGACATTATTCATTTCATGAACATAGCATATCAGTACTCAATTAAAGACAGAAACAGTCAGTAATTGTCATCTTTTATTCATCTCTACATTTTCTTCTTAAATGGAAAAATATTAAATGTATTATTTTCTATAGAGCTGTTATAAATATCTTACATATCAAAGTGGCAGGGAAAACATTCATTTTCTGCTATAACCTGTAAGATCTCCATTCACTGCTCCCTTTATTGTATGCAGACAACCCTATACATGTACTTGACATATCTCCTGTTGAAAGTCTCCACAGATAGCCAAAACAAATCAAAAGAAGCAGTGTCAGTAAGCTATATGTTAGCACACAAATATATCTCTTGCATGAGAAAGTTTCGCCTACTAATTGTATTTGAATAGCAACACACTGACTTTCATGGTGACAAATCTTTTCTTACACTCTGTATGACAGATCAAATACTTAATCCATCAAAAATATGCATTCTTTTTTAAGAGAATAAAATGAGACAAAAATTACCTCACCAGTATTTAATTATATTGGTTTGATTGGGAGGGGTTGGAATAAATATATACAGTATTTGCTCCATTGGAACCACCTGCTCTTATGAAAATAGCTTAAAGATTGGCATAAATGAGTTCAATGCGAGTACTTAAAAATCCCACTAAAACTTAATTGTTGGCTAGCTTCCATGTGCTTCTAATAGAGGAAAGTAGATTTGTTGTTGATGGTATAGTGTTGAGTTTCTTGAGGTGATCAAGTCTCAGCCCAAACTCATTTTATCTTCATTCATGTATATCTACTACTACAATATGATTTATATTCATCGTGACAACTATTTCATTGCGTTCATGCATGCGTAACATCCAAAAGTCATCTTAGTTTCAACCCCCTTTGATTACCACAAGTTTAAATTGATTTATAATGTTGTTCCATTTATGACAGGTGAATTTGGTGCATTTATGCTGTACATTAGTACTGACTATGTCTTTGATGGTAAAAATGCACCATATCAAGTAGATGCGCAACCAAACCCCTTAAATAAATATGGAAGAAGTAAATTAGATGGTGAGAAAGCTACATCAGATAATCTTACAGGTATGAAATATTGCTGGGTTCGCAATGATGAGATGGCATTAACTGGTGGTGATTTGG